AGGAATGCTTCGGTGGTTTGGTCACGTAGAAAGAATGAATGATGAAAGAGTGACAAAGCAAATTTATATGGCAGATGTGAACGGCCGAGTCGGGAAGGGACGCCCTAGAAAAAAGTTTGTCAACCAAATTGGCGATATTTTGAAAATGGGCCACGTTAGAAGTACCCTTAACCGACGAGCATGTATGCGTAGATATATGGATGTAAAGGAGGCGAAAGAGGTATGTCAGGATCGTGCCAAATGGAAGTCCGTAATCTCTGCCTACCCCTCTGGGTGACAGGCGTGAGTGTTTATGTATGTATGTATGTTAAATTTTCTTAAGTAAAGCAATAACATATTTATTGATAACTAGCTGTTCCCTATACTTCACCTGCGTGTAATTTAGGACTTTTTTGTGTGGTATACTAATTATTTTTCTAAAACAAAAGTAGTTTAAGTTATTTTTTATAACTTCAGCTATCTGTCAGTGAAAGTCCCGTCAAAGTCCAGCCATTTCGGATCCGGAACAAACAGACAGACAGGTTTATCATTTAAAAAATTGTAATTTTGATATAAGTATCGTTTATAATTTCATATGCATTTAGTAAAAAGTTGTTATTTTAACATTACAAACTGACACTTTAATTTTACTTGTTTATGCAACAGCAGAAGTTATTGGTATTCGTGACTGAATGTTTTATTTTAGCAACTCTACCTATCTTCATAAACACTAGTGTTTGAAAGGGATACTGTAAGTAAACGCTCCATGGCAAGGCATAAGGCTTTTGCTTGATTCTGAAAGGACGTGAACAGACAGACGACTTTAAGTAGCTTTTGAAGAGAGAAAATTATCTAAAGACTCAGAAAATCTAATGGCATACGGTAGGTGGTGCTATAAACATGTTGTCAGTCGTATTTATTACCAATCATGCTGTGAAACTCAGTGTCACTAAATTCAAAGGATTTATCTGTCCGTGAACTAATTTTTCTAAGAACTACCTATATCTGCAACGTGTCACAGTTGGTAGAAGAAAACGGTTTATTTTTATTTATATCGCCCAGAGAATATGTAAGGACTAGAATTCAACTACAAAATGTTGACGCAGTTGTTAGTACTAAATCGCCAACAATAGGTCTAAATAAAAATATAATTATTAAACTTTAAGGTTTTAACCTTAATTTTCCTATTAACATAAAGAATATGTTGTTGCGAAGAGTTCAGCTCTTAGATATTTAACTTATTTATTACTCTATATATTTACATGTACTTATATATATATATATATATATATATATATATATATATATATATATATATATATATTTTTTATCTTCTGTCCGTGTCTATGTGACTGAACTCCTCTTAAACGGCTGTACAAATTTCGAATAAATTGTATGTGATTAAGTTGATTCAAGAATGGTTTAGATTCAGATTCACAACTGGACGCGGTATGTAGAGGTGTTGTCAAGAACCAGTAATCTACAGTGCGAAGCGAGGTAGAACGCTAGTTGATGTTACCTATATATTAAGTGGTAGATCCACACTGCAGACGAAAACTGAAGACCTTTGTACTGATATAGACATTCCACCTACGAGTGGGTGTTTTTGCGTAGATACAGGTGTAACATCCACATACTATTTTATGAACTTTGAACTCGTTTATCAGCTTTACTTCTATAAAAAATCTACTATAACCTATACATGTAAGTTTTCCGAAAATATACACACAAAGATGTGCTATCTGTCGATATAGTGTCGTATTCTGTATTAAAAAATTCAGAATAAACCGTTATATGTTTTCGTTTCATTCGTTCATTTCATTTCATATTTACTTAGGTAACTATTTTCTTTTTCACTAAAATGTAATCAAACGTCAGGAATTAAAAAGTTAAATTAAACGCGATAAAATCTGTAAAAATTACTTTTATTTGATGTGTTAGTGTTCGCGTAAATATAAGAAATCAATAAATATAATCATTGTCTAAATAAAACATAGTTTATGAAAATGTTATTCTGTATGAAGCTATTTAATTATTAAAACATTTTTGTACGTTCATACAGATAACTAAAGAAATTTATCGTTACATTTTCTATATTTTAATGAAGTAAAGTTACATCTGTTTACCTGTTACATGTTCGACCTTAAATATAATGCCAATAAAGTTGTATATTGATAAAGTAAATTCTTAAGACACCTATTAAAATACGTTATGGTAAAAATCTTCCTTAAATATTGTGATGTATCCTTATATTGAGGCAATGGTAATGAGGCAAAATTCAAGTTTTCATCTATTGTTATCTAAATTACTGGCAGTTACGCGCCTAGTCCATTGAGCGTAAGGTACCTAAACTTTACTACAAACTAGGGAGCTTTTTGTAATGTTAGTATGTTAGTACCAGGTGATGCTAAGTATCTCCGACCGAAGGAACTGTGGTAACCTGGGGGCGTAAAGATAAGTTTATTAAGTATGTAAGTTTATCAAATATTTTAAGAATTATTCACAGAGCATTAAGTTAATCAAATGTTAACTCCCAAACTACAATAAAGTGTGCTACTACGTTATAAAGTGATTTAACCTTAACCTTTCGACCGAGTAAACCTTCAAACCAAAGTACATAGAAGCATACAACTTCTGTGTGAAACCATTGGATTTTTTTAATTCTATTAAAATTGTTCGGACTTTACCAATTTAGAGTCAGTCAAACTACTAAAATATTGAAATTAATTTTTAATAAATAACCGAAACGAACGACTCCACCGTGTAGTGACGGTGTAAATAATATCCATAATCCCATATTGTCCCATGAGAAGGAAACAGTACATAAAATGGAAAGGAGCATCTTCCTAATAACAATGAAAAAAATTGTTGACACCGACCCGCCTGCCAGCGTGGCAGTCATAGCAAATAGAAATAGTTTACATTTTTACAAGCACTTGTCATTTGTCAGTTGCACTTGCCACTCGCACTTGTCACTTCTCAAAATGTAGAGCTGCAGTGATTTTTAACAACAGAATTTCAAAACAATAGGCTTCGCATGACCACTATATTAACGACGTGTACCCCAGCGCGTGTGCCTGATTGAGTCCCTAACTTGGTGATATTTACATCTTGAACGGTTCCGTAATCATCTGCACATTATTTGCATAAGGTTCAAGTATAATATAAAGAAGACACTGCCGCCATCACTTGATTTGTTTCCTTCGGTCGCGTGGATATTCTTACACCACCCCTACACGGTACGGTTTTTTATATTCCATACACATCTACTACCCTATATCGTATTGTATTTTTATTTTGTATTTCCTCTGCGATATACGCAGATACGATACTTTATTTAAGAAGCTGTCACAGCACTAATTTAATAGCGCTGAAACCCATCCTAACCCACCGAAGTGGCAAACGCTTCGATCTATTCGCAAACGTTACCTTCGATCTCCATAGACCCCGTAAAGTTCTTATCGAACCATCAATTTCAATCGACTATGACAACCTAAACATCGCAGGCGCATCGCATCACACAACGACACTACATAATGCATTCAATCTGTCAAATACTAGTAGGACAACGGATAGGACTCGTTGCACCCGTAGGCAGGTACGACCTGGGCGGTGAAAACCGCCCCGAACATCGGTCGACACGAGCTAAGCAGTCACAAACGTTAGTCCACACTCGCCTACTCGGACATCGGTTAGATAGCTCAAAAATCCTATAGAGGGGTCCTGGTGTTACACTGTAGTGGAATGGAATTAAATTATAATAAAAAAATATCTAATGTTCCACAAGGCACAAATTTCACTAGAATCGGTTTATCTCAAGTTCAAGCGTTATTGTAAGACAAACATTCAAACTGTATAGCTTCGCTGGGCGTGGTTTTAGGTTGTGCAATAATTATAAGGTATATAAAGTCTTCATGTATTTTTTTATGACAAAATGTGCATCGCTGCCAAATTTTATTAAAAACCATTCAGCCGCTTGAGCGTGATGGAATTATAAAAAAACCAAAGAAACAAACTTTTACATTTATAATATTATACATATTTACTTCGTATTATAAGGATAGGATAAGGACCTATCAGATTTAAAATTCTAAGTTTATTTCAACATTAAAACTAAAACTTCAATTATCAGATATTTAGATATAACTATTTTTCAAACCTACTTACCTACTTCTAATTTCCGTTATTAATAATTCCTAAGACCAGAACAGAAACGTAGAAATTCAGGGAAAACAAAGTAAAAATTATAGCTTATAGAAAACATAAGAAAATGACGCATAGGTAGGTACCTAACAAAGGTTCAGTTATAAAAGTTAAAACCCGTAAAATATTTAAGTTCACCGATTCACCTAATCCTTATTTGAAATAATATTTTGTGAACTTTAAGCTTTTACGTTAAAAAGTGTTTTGTAATCTATAATTGTTGATTCAAATTAATAATTCAGGTCAGCTCAGGAATTAATTATTTTTGCAACAATTTTTACTGGAGCCGGACCAAATTTCGTAAATAAACTATGTAGGTATATTGTGTTATTATGTACATAGGGATGACTGTATCTTTGTAGAAGTTATAAATTAAACCATTTATTCTATTCATTAACGGAACACCACTTTGGTACTGATCTGTGATCATTATTGTGCTTACCACGTTGAACACAAATAAAAAAAATCAAAACAAAAAGAAGGATCGCTTTGAAGCCAGCAACGTGCAACCGCGGTCGTAAGCTTGTAGCAAATCGAGGTTTGTTGGGCAGCCGGGGGTGGTGGGGAGACGCAGGGCGGCGGGGGGCGGTGGGCGGGGCGGGTGGTGACGTCAGAGCGGGGGGCAGAGCGCCGCGCGATTGGCCGCCCTGCGCGCGCTGCTACCGAATATGGGACCGCGGGTCCATTGATAAAACTGCGGCGCGGCACGCGCGGCGCCAGTCCCCTTCGCACCGGCCGCGTGAGAGGCCGTCTTCACGCTGGCGTTGTTCGTAATACCACTCGGCCCGTGGGCCGAGGAGCAGGTGGTGCCGGACGGCATGGGCACCGACGTGGAGCCCCCGGCCGGCCCACACCTACTGTCGCTGGCCGACGTGGGCGCGCTCGGCTTTGACTGCGCGCTCAAGCCGGCGCCGGCGCTCGCCACCAGCGGCGCGCCGCCCGACCTCAACACACCCGTCTCCACATCCGACCTGCCAGCGTTCTTCCCGAGCCTCTTGGAACCGCCGCCTATCTCAGGTGCGCCACCACTCGAACCGTGTCTGTCTCGTGTCAACCGCCGACGGCTCCCGATTTATGTAGGCGGAAATCCCATTGATAAAGTTGTAAACAAACGTAAATATATGCTCGGTACGTGATCTTACCCGCGACGGCACAGTGTCAATGTTATCGACATTAACGACCCGCTGCAGTAGGTCAAAGTTGAAGTGTCCTGTAAAGTGAAATTGAAAGTTCGCTGACCGTGTCTAGAAACGGATCGATACACTTAGATGAATGGAGCTTTTATTGTGAAAATGTCAGCTCTAAAGCTCATTTTTAACTCGCGATTTTTATTGGTGCTTAAAGTGTACGTTTCGTAGTGAACGAAATCCTTAAAACTGGTAAATATACCTATTTCATAGAAATATCATTCCCAAGTTAAATATCCTTTATTCAAAATAGCTTAATAGTAGTGATACAGATAATATTTTAATGGCTAGGTAGATAGTAGATACAATTGAAAAAAATTGTTGAGAAAATATATAAATGTCATATTTTTAAATTACAAATATTACATAGGCATAGTACCTACCTACTATAACAATAAAAGCTTTAGTAAAGACCAATAATCAAAGTTGATATTGAATTAATATATACTATTTATGTAATACATATAACTATTTTATTTCAATATATTTTTAGTTTAAAAAGAAATTAATAAAACAATATTTGCCTATAAATGAAAATAACTTTTTTTTAAAGAGAAACGCATAGGTACTCTTTTTAAATATAAATATAAAATATTGTTCTAACTTAATACATAATATCTATTTAATGAATGACTAAAACACTATAAAGGATTTTAAACGAAAAAATATCTTGATTTATATCTAATAAAGTATAGGAACTTCTGTATTAAATGACTTACTGTAGTTGACGCTAAATAATATAGAAATCAATGATATATAATTCCATATTCCATCAACTTTATATGTACTAAAGCTAAATAGTCCATAATATAAATGTTTGTATTATTATTAACTACAACTTACTTTCTTCTTATATTATTCAGCTGAATAAGGCGCCAATTAATTAGCGCAGATGTGTTAGAATACTCTGCACCCTTTTTTGATCTATGTGCTTTAGCTATAAATTTAAATACTTAGGAGATTAACTTAATGCGTTCCCTCCGTTCTTCGGGTAATCTTAAGTTGCTGAAACTTTTATATTATAAGTAGTACTAGTTATTTATCAAAACTCATTCGCCACCACGGCTATCGAACTCTGGAACGACATCCCTCTAGCTCTAGACTTTTAAAAAAGTGCAACCAAGTTTGTTTTTAAAAATGAACTCCATGAGCATGTTAAATAATTTTTGCAAGTTTAAATTAATGCTGTTAATATAAACGTTAATGATTCCATCACCATAATATATATATTCAATATTTATCCTGACAGATAATAATTAAATATTTATAAGGTAGATATTATCCAAATTTTATACATCATCATTATTATTATAAAGACATTTTAAAGACAGGAATTTAAAAATTATAAGATCATTAAAGCAAAAAAATATAAAAACAAAATAAAATAATCATCACAAACAATAAGTACCTACTTCTTGACACATATTTAATGAACGATTACCTAATTGTTGTTAAGTCATTTTTCCCTACCCTTTGCCACTGAAATCCAATTGTCTACCACAAACTTTTAAATTTCATCCGTCCACATGTCTAGAGATCTACCGTTTTTCTATTTGTATATATATATATATATATATATATATATATATATATATATATATATTTATCTGTAAACCAATTAACTTGAATACTGCTTACGCGCTTCTCAAAAAAAGCAGAACAACTTCTCAATTTTATACTTATTAGCTTCTCCCCTCCTCTTTACACATAAATTCCTTTTTACACATAAATTATTCTGACGTTTTTACTAATATATTACTTCTTGATAGTTCGTGATACTGAAGTAAATAATTTTATTAATAAGTACAATAAATATAACATCGATGCGTTTGGGTTTGTAACTTTGTACCAAATTCAAACCTCGGTCAGCTCATATTATTTTAAATAAGATTAATGCAGTAAGCAGTTAGCTGGTCGTAATGTTCGGTGGACACTTGACCAACGCAATGATATGGAGCTATCAGCTTCCGGCGTGACTTATCACGCCGCACCGCAACACTTTCCGCTCGTCGACCTATTCAGACAAACAAACACGCAAAAACGTTCACCTAATGCCAACTAGCTCACCATATATTTTTACATAATAATTAAGTTACCATTTATTACAAACTTTAATAGTTCCGATCTTAAACTATGGTTTAAAAAAAATTAAAAGGATTATAACCTGTTATGGCCTGATTTAGTAATAAAAACGTAGCTCTAATACCCTATCAATTTCTCGTATAGGATGGGTAATAGGACATTAATTTCAAAGAGAGCAAATGATAATTTAAATACTTAGATGCACATACAAAACTTCGTGGTAATAAAGACAATATATCTTGCGCATAATATCTGATTTTTGTGTAAGGCTAATTGGGCATAGTTTAATGTAAATTTTTTATGTTAATGGGCCCACTTACATTCAAGGTAACTGTTAGGTCGTTCGTCACCTTGAGGAAAAGTTTTTACGTATTAGCAGCAGCTATATTATAGCATTAGCGCGAACGGGACAGGACCACGCTCTCACAGAATACCAGTGTAAAATAGCAGCTTAATGCTGCTGTGTTTCTAATGGTTAGTATAGATAACCTGAGACCCTTTTTACTAGATTCGAGGCATTCCATCCTAGTCCTCAGGGATGACAACGCATTATGACGGAGGATAAATGTTTTTGTCTATGGGCCACATCCACTAATCATCAGGTGGACTGTAGGCTCGTTTATCACCCAATACTATAAAAAAAGAATACTTTTGTTTTCTTACAGCTAAAGTATGAGTATGTAACCAGAAGTAAAAACTGAGATGCAAAATAAATTATCGCCTTCATATCAACAAGTCAACAGTCCAGTGTTGACTTCAGCCCTACTCTCAATAGGGAAAGTTTGCCTTACGCTTGAGATCGCAATACCAGACAGCTCACACGTTCAACTACGATAATACCACTGCCATCTATCGGAAGCCACAAGATTTTCCAGGCCTTCCTCTAAGCCGCCTACTTAGTTACTTCTCCCATGAGATGAGACATGGTGATGGTGTCTATTATCCGACATTCAATCGACTTTGTATTGTAACATAATAAATAATTGATTATTATACCTAATATTAAATAAATTTCCAAAGCTATAGGGTTGAGTCTTCTAAGTTTTGTATGTTTCACATAGTGATGTACATTTCTCATCATCTTCTTAATTTATTGAATTTGAATAAAAATAATCGGTGTAATTTTACTAAAATTGTATTTAATTATTTAATGCAAAGTGTTTGAAAGAATAATAAATACGTATCGAAATGTTTTACATGACTGAAATTAAACGTATAAAACAAATAATGCTTTACACACACTAATGTACGTCGGTGAACCGAGATGCTATCTTTTACCGGTTGCTTTCGATTCATTTGAGCTTAATTAGCTTACACCGACAACACGGCTAACAATGACTAATGGGACACAATGCACAAATACCTTGTTTAAAAATTAAATTGTAAAACACCTTAATTTGGCACTTTCTAATTAAGATTGATGTAGACTGCTGGAAACTTGTAGCTTGCATAGGTACACTCTTACAACCTTAGTACCTCTGTGTCTGACACTGAAACCGTACTGTTTCCACCGAGTTCTAAAAGGAAAGGATTTTGATTGGTGCAATCATGCCTTTACCTAATCGAAATCAAAAATGAAACTAAAAATCAATGCCCGGAGTGTAATAAAAAACTAGAATAATCGCCGTATGCTCTACTAAAGCACAAGCTTTTTCAAGTCTTACAACGCTCCAATTGTCAGTTTTATTTTTATTTCTTTTTAATTTCTGCTATATAAAATTGAGATGACACAGGAACTTACAGTCCACTTGAGGCCAAGCGGCCACTGCAGGCCATGGACACGGCCACTTCGAGCGCCTACTCCCCCGGATTGAAAGGGTAGCGCGTACTATGCACAGACTGCTGCCCGGGACGTGCTTTATTAAAGCATAGCGAGAAAGGGGCACCGGCTGCGCTCCGAACGGAGATCCTGCGATCCCCTCATATACGCTGATGGTGACCACCGTGGGGTTTTGGCCGGTGAGTGTTCGGCATCACCTTTCTGATGCGCCCACAGCAGTATCCATGAGGGTTTTCCCACGATAAAAAGAGACCATGGACACGGCAAACGTATACAGAGGCTACAGGCTATACCCTTCAAACTGGAACACAGCAATGCAGTCATAGCAGTGACTGAACTTGGGCGGCAGAAATAAGTAAGCAGTAATGCAAAAACGAGTTCTACCACCTAACAAATAAATCTTATCATTTATTCTTAATAACGTATCTCATAAAAGATTGAAGTAATACAATGTTGAAAATTAGGCTTAATGATACGAATTCACCTGTAAAAACTGTTTAAAAAAAATAAACGCAAAAACTAAATGAGCGACAGCAGACATTTCCTTACTGTAAAATTAATACTTTACCGCATAAACTTTAATTTAAGTTCATTAGTTTTAGTAAACTATTGAACATAAAACTTTTTAAACGACAGTGGACTGATCAGCCGTAACTTTCCCGCTTAACAGACACAATCGAGACTGTTATTACCTAGACCGTGTAGGTTAGACTTGTGTCCTCTGCAGTTTACATATTTTACTTCTATTTCTTATAATAATCTTTTTTCTTCGCCCAGCGGATGAAATTACTAAAAGAATCCATTATCCAGCCTATATTTGGAACTGAATGTTAAATTCAATATTTTTTTGTTATCTATATATTTTGTATTATTATGTTGTTGTATTACGTATTATTATATATTTTTAAAAGTGTTAACTGATAACGTCCTCCAGACCGAATTCCGGCCACGGTGGCCTGCCTCAACGGAGGCTAGCCATCGGCGCAGGACAGGATTATAGTGCCCAAGTGTATGCGCAAGCACAGGTGCACTCTCTATTCCCTCACTCTCATAATCCGATGAGACGGTAAACCGACACGACAGGAGAGAGGTCAGGCGCAGGACCAACGGCTTTACGTGCTTTCCGAGGCACGGGGGTGAGACACCGCTAACTTCCTGACTCCGGGCAACTACTGAGATTTTCTTGACGGAAAAACTCAATAATTATTTTTTTTTGGCACGAACCGGGATTCGAACCCAGAACCTCATGATCAGCAGTCGCACTACTACAACCACTAGACCAACGAGGCAGTCCTGTGTGTGTGTTAAATGATAGGCATTAAGAAAACACCAGAAGCTTACTAACCAGTCTGTATGCTTGTTACAGGTACATTAACAGGCGATGAGCTATCGCTGGGCTGCTCTCCACGGCGGCACAAGCACGAGGCGTCTCTGTCACCTGGTGCGCGCGCAGAGGACGCGAGCAATGCGTCCAGCGCGAGCGCCTCCCTTTATGGGCCACCGGCCACAAAGCGTGCACCGTCACCACCGCTGCAGTGGCTACTTCCACCCGGCCCTGGCCCCGGTGTTGACAAGTACTTCCAGCATGAATACGAGGAGCGTGTGGACCTACTTCCGCCAGAATGTCAGCCCTCTTACTGTGCGCCACCACAGGCCTGTCCACAGCCTCAGCACTGCGAGTACCGACCCCCGCCACAACAGCAGCAGCAACCCCAGCATTCCTGGGACACCCAGGAGTACGCCGCAGCCCCTCAGCCCGCTCCGGGACCATCAGGTCTAACAAAGCGTGAACCGTACCCCAGCCCGGTCGGCGACCGGCCCGTACAACTCGCCGAGTACAACCCGTCCACGAGTAAAGGTCACGAGATCCTCTCGCAGGTGTACCAGCAGAGCGCCCAACCGCTCCGCCTTGTGGCCGTAAAGCCGCGCAAGTATCCCAATAGACCAAGCAAAACGCCTGTTCACGAACGGCCGTACGCGTGTCCTGTGGATGGCTGCGACAGGCGCTTCTCGCGCTCGGACGAACTCACGAGGCACATTCGTATCCACACAGGCCAGAAGCCGTTCCAGTGTCGCATCTGCATGCGCTCATTTAGTCGCTCGGACCATCTAACGACTCACGTGCGCACGCACACCGGAGAGAAACCGTTCGCGTGCGACGTATGCGGGCGGAAGTTCGCGCGCTCGGACGAGAAGAAGCGGCACGCAAAGGTGCACCTGAAGCAGCGTCTGAAGCGCGAGCGAGGCGGCCCGGCACCGCATGAGCCGCTCTAGCGCCACGCCGCTCCCTCGCCTGCACATTCCAGCGGCAGCACCGCCTCGCAGCCAGGCTCGACGCCGAACTGAACTCTTACATCTTTACGCTGAAGTTATGAAATAATTTCATCGCCTAGTTGTAAATGAGTTGTCTTTAACGAAGCTTTATTAACTCTACGTTTTGTAAATTCACTGAAATTTATATATATATATATTTATTTCTTTTTATACATATTTGTAATTAATACGATAGGAATAATCGATTGAATGTATTTATTTCATTTAGATAGAATAATTGATTGATCTAGACTGGGAACAAGTGTGGATACAAGTAGTGCGGCCTAATTTGTATAACACATCGATTTTTTCAATGTAAAAACTTCGCGTCTCTCATTAGGATTGTACGAGTAGCGTCAGGTCGTCGCCGTGCGCGACATCACGGCATTAACACATATCGCTCGATCTGACTACAGTCCCATAGGCTAAGTATAAAACATATTTTCGTTGTGTTAGTAATAAAATTGCTTGAATTTGACGTGAGTGCATTACTAAACATAAAAACTAATTGAAATTTCACGAACTAAGCCTAGGCAATAAGCCTACTGCATAAATGTAGAGTAAAATTTACAAAACAAATAGTTTCTAACTCCACGTCTGAAGTGTGCGGTTGTTTACTTTGGCCGTTTATTTATTAAGCATTGTATCATACATATATTAATAATTATATACATTAAACTAACGTGAAACTGTGCCATTAATTTAACCTTACCACGTGCCACGGCAGTTTGATTAATACATACTAAACATAACACGACTGCTAATTAAGTGATAATTACCTATAATAAAGATACGTATTTCGTTTTGTAATATTTCTAGTCGAAGGTGTGAACGAGTGAATGTCGACTATTGTTTTTCTTCATATACATTTTATCGATTGTTTTATTAAGTTTTTATTATTTTCGACAGCTGCTGTCATCATCTATTCTTGCTCAATTGATTTAATTTAACAAAATTTGCTCAATTCTTTTTCTTATAAAAGTTCTTCACTTATGCGCGAACGACTAATATTAACTGTATACGCCTTGCTCTCTTTGTTATAAAACACTCGTCATGCTGTTCACTCCCAGTGGCATATGCATATAAATTGTGCGTACTATAGACTAATCTAGTAAAGGTAATTAACGCGTAGGATTAAAATTATGATCTCTTAATCTTTATTAATTATTTGCGAGTATTGCCCGCGGAGAATTGGGCCCTTTATTTATAATACTCATAAGTTTGTGTAGATATAATTAAGTATAAGTTTAAATTTGAATTAAATCATCATCAAATTTGAAGCATGTTAGACTTTTGCTTTCGAAATGTGTGTACATCGAAATGTTTCAAATCAATCATCACGAATAATTCTTGTTTATGATTTTTATATGAGTACAAAAATAGGCACAAATAGCCTTACGTATTATAATCATTAGAACATATTATATTCATAAATTTGTACATTTATTATACACATAAATGCCTTTAGCCTTTTACAGGTGTATAAAAGTCCTATTTTTATTATTAATTATGCGTTGTATTGTTTTTAAGTGTTTCTATTATCTTATGAAATGTTAAATAAAAATCTAATAAATTCTGTAAAAACTATTGTCAGCTATAGAACAGTGATATATACACAACAGGGTGGGTGAGTAGCGTTGGTCTTTATGAATTTAAGATATCTGACAATAATATTTCTAATCCTTTCGTCTGCAGTGCTTTATGTAAACTGGAGCGGCGATGATTATTTTTATTCAGCAAGCCATAAGTTATTACAGAAGTTTAGATTATCACTAAAAATATTCACCTTGAAATATCTCCGTTCCTTGTTCAACCGCTTTGTACAGAGCAAAATGCGAACGGCCACTCGTGCGCGTTCCCCTGAAATTCATCACATCTCAGGGCATACACTAATAGGGATCGTGCTGCACTGATTCTTATACGTGAAGAATATGTTTAATGTTAAATGATGTGACTCTAGTTAAGCTATGTATGCTTGAACTAATTTAATAGTTAATTATAGATATAGTATATTATGTTTCTGGAGGTGGGCGTTATTTAACGTAATCGGTTTGAGCAACTGCTTATTCGTATATGTAATTTCGTGGATCAGAATGCAACGATTATTTATGAAAATGACGGGTAGCCGTTTTATTAAACCGAATATAAAATATTGGTAAAACTATTTATATAACACGTGGTGCGTTTCCGAACTCTCTTTACAGAAATAACTAGTAACAGAAATAAGCGGTTACAAAACTTTTTACGTGTACCCACGAAGCTATGTATAACTGATTACATACAAAACACGTTACGACCCACTACTATGATATTTTTCTATTACAAAAAATACGCTATCCACAATACAGAATATACGTCAATTCATATATGCTCTAAACGACGAACGCTCGCGTACAACTACTAATTACTAAGAACATGTTAAAAATTTAATGTTCGAGTTTACAATTTTTTTACTATTTTTAACGAGACCTAGTCTCCGATAGAGAAATGCTAGCGTAGATAGGTATTATAAAGCGTTATCATGATAGACAAATGAGTGACAATTGAAACGGAGAAGACTAAATTCTGAAAAACATTTTACGTAATGTTGCATCACGTTAACGTTATTGTTGAACAGTTTTTGTATAAAAAATTACGCATAGTGCTCGGCCATCACGTTCACGCGTCAAGAAGTCGCGACGACGTCGTAGGTCAGCCTTCATTGTTGACACCTCTGTTACGTTACTACTCTGTGTTGCGGTGCTACGCATAATTAGTACTTTTCATATAACTGTCTATTTCTTAGTGAATTACGAACATTAACTATTTCACGGTTTCACGTGATAGTGAATAAATACGAATTTCTGTATGGTTATTATTAAAATTGTAACATATTTCACCAGAGTGAAAGATGTTGTTAATGTTATAAACATAGTTAGTTTTAAGCAAATAGGTATTGTTAAATCTCACTAATTTTTACTAAATTCTATTTAATATATTTGTAAATACACTCAGACTAAATTTGGATCTAATGTGTATATAAAAGAAAAAGAATTTTTTTATTTAATATGAAATCACCTAAGGTGCGAAAATACAAAATGTTGAATACTTGGATTCTATTGTTTATATTTATTTCAAAATTACCTTACCTTCATTGCAACTGACACATTCAATATAAAAAATATATTGGCTAATTATAGGCGACTGAAGATGTTTTTAACAGCTTTGTTACATAACACATAAACACTCACTTATGTCGACCAGAGGAATAGACAGAGACTACTTCTACTTAGCACTTTCCTGATTCCTGACACACTTTTCTCGTCTCCTGCAAGTCCATATACTTACTCGAGCACATGCCCGTTGGTTAATGACTTATTTTATAGCGTTGGGTAACGTACAAGCACACAGTCCACAGTTTTGGAGCAGAGCTCCAATGGCGCAAGAAAACGATTATTTGAAATCTATCTCCTCCGTAACCCGTAGGCTAACTTACATAACTTTTTCGGCAATATTTGTAGCTTAAATAAATAAAAATCTGAATTTGATTTTTTTGATGGTAGCAAGGTTAGGTTTTACCTTTGCATCTGCATAAAAACCAAATTTGAAACTCTTTCAACTAGCGTTATGTAAAAAAAATTTGTACTACGTTTGTAGTCCCGTCTACCAAACATTTCGACTGTGCACATATTTTTATAGAAAAGGGGTTAAACGAGCAAATGGTAACACGCACTCACCCGATGGTAATAAAATAGCCTAGTTTTGTATTAAACTACCAGATCAAGGCTTATTGAATTTTGCCTTGAATTTGTGACAGAAATATAAAATGAATGATGACATGTAATGTCAATGTCATTTTCAAAAAGTACAGTAATAAACAGTACATAAAGCGTCATCTACTTAAATAATTCACTATCAATAAACCATCAACTTTTCGTACCATTTATAACAGAAATATTCAAAAAATCGTAATATAATCTATGATACATACTACGTAATATTATTTTTTCCTCGTCTCCAAAAATAAAAGGTAAATAAATATCAAACGCCTAGCATAGACTTAGGTATTATACTACTGCGTATAAATGACACCTAGTCATTTATTACCGCAACAAAACCATTGCGACTTTTGCCTGTTTTATTATGTAAGGATTGAAAAGTGTTATCATTTTGTACCGAAATGCCTCATAAAATAACGCCCGCTACACCTCTTTTTAATGAGAACATCTTCCAATCATTTTGTCAATCAGAACCGAGTTTAACGACGATCCCAGACCCCCATATCATCCCATGGGTGTCTTGGGGGGCGATTGAGAAAACAAATCAAGAGATGAGCAGCAGCGTCTTCCTAATAACGACTAAAAATAAAAAACCAACCCGCTTGCCAAGCGTGGCAACTATGGCATAAGTTGATATGACTTAAATAGGCTCTAATGGTAATTGTAGTTAACATAGAAGTACTTATAAATAATTTACATTCCTCAGAGTAAAAAAGAAGAGAGATGAAAATAAGTACTTTAAATAGTAAGTAATGGATCTAAAAGTTATTTGAATTAACATCTCAATCTCATCTCAAAGTGTGATGAAATTACGGACAAGATGAAAACGATGTAAAGAGTAGATAAAATCATATTGGTTTATTATAAACTGAAATAGATTTCACCAGTACAGCAACAGGAGCCTGGAAATTCGTAACATACCCAAAATACTACCTATACAGTAACTTAACCATAAATCAAACAAGTTCAGGTCATTAAAAACCCCAATTACATAATTTCAGACTTCTTTCGTAACAATTCTACGACTATTTTATTTTTATTTATTTATTTTATCTAAAAATAAAGTTTCCACAGTTAAGTGACTCATCGACAACAAGTGAATATCATTGACATACTTAGGTGTGTAAAACTAAAGTTAAGTCAAAGTAAAGTGTAAAATTAAAGTGAAATATTAATTCAACTATTAATTTAAACATTACCCAT